AGAGTGTTGATTTGGCGCGATTTTCTTTGCAAAGTCCGTTACAAATTGAGAATATTGTTGCTCAGCGGAAATTGAGAGAATAGATTGGCGCGATTTTGTAAAGTACGTTTCTAATTGAGAGTTGAGAGTTCAAAACATTGAAGCGGTGTCTGTTGACAATTCGAGTCGTGCCTAAAATTGTAAAAACGTAAATATACTAATGCGAGGCGAACCGATGTCGAGAGCCGATTTAAAATAATAGTAATTTTGAAATAAGTTAACATCAAATAAGATGCTGCTTCATCAACCATCGTCATTCCTCATGAGATGATTCATGACACCCGTTCATAAATTAATTGTTGTTGTGCTCAATTAATAGTAAGAAAATTTATTAGTTTTATGAAAAGTAATTTGGCCTGATTTTTCTCTGTGCGTGTACGTGTTTAAACTCAAGTATCGCTTGTCGTCCGCGCTGACAGAGGCAGCGAAAGTGTGTGGCTCAGATCAAGACAATAACATTGTGTGTAGTATAGAAGCGCGAACGCGTCTTGTAGAGCGAGTGAAACGGAGTCGAGGCGAAATTAGGCAACACACGTGAGCAAATTGAGTGGGGTGTACTGGGGTGTGTATGAGCGAGTGGTTGTATGAGTGAGTAATAAGAGAGGGTACTAGCAGACATGAATGTGAGCGGCGTCTTAAACTCTTCGGTGTCGCAGATATTGGGCCGAATCGATTGGACAGTGATAGCAGAAAACGACGCGGTAGAAATAATACGATGCACTATCGCGGGCGCGTCGGAAGCGAGCGTGCGAAGTAGTTGCATGATTAATGGATTGAATGTTGATGACGAGGTGGATAGGTTGCGAGATCGGTTGATGCGATTTGAAATTCGTGCGCGATTCGGTAACGATAAAGCAATGTGGGATCCGTCGCGAGACGTGGCGTCGCAAATGTCGCCTGATGCGGTGATAGGTAATAATCAGGCCGCTGTTGATGCAACGCCGTTGGCATCATCGCCAAGTAGATTAGGAAATAATTTTAAACAGTGGCGTAATATGCATAATATGTCGGAGAGTAGCAGCCTGATGAATACGGCAATAGACGGAAATGATGAACGTGGACGCCGCATTGCAGAGGATGAGTTAGCTGAATCGGAAGCGCCGAATGATCGTGATGTGCGTCGCAGTGGTCATCACACGAGTGGGAGTAGTAATGAGGTACAGAGTGAGCCGTTGGATCTTTTGAGTAACGGTGGGAGTAGTCCGGCTAGGATACCGGAAGATCGAGATCGTCTGATGCGTGGCGTACTCGAGGATGATTATGGACGTATAGATCGAGGGCGTCCCATGCATGGCGTACTCGAGGATGATTATAGACGCATAGACTTACAGCGTGATATTCGAAGAGAGCGCGATAGCGGAAGACAACGAATTCGGAATAGCAGTGGTCACAGGGAGCAGGTCGAGACGAGCGATTTCGAGCAGGAGCACGTAACAAGTGTCACGTCGACGATGCGTAGAGTAGCATTTGTGAATGAATCAAGCGCGGCGAATCGAAACGATGCGAGTCGTGCGACATTAGGCGAATTCGGCGGGGCGACTCCAGCAGCTTTTGTGACAGCGCAATCTCAGATGTATCGGAGCGAAATATTAGGCGCGGGCCATAGCAATAGTGGAAGAGGCTCAGGTGTGTATGAGGCCGGCGATGCAACGGGAAGCCGCGACGAAATGCGTGAAGGCCGTAGTCTAGGTACAGGCATGGCAACGGGGTTTCGTAGACGGGTAAATAGTCGCGAACCGCAAGGAAGCACGTATGGTCGTGGAGGCTTACGCGAACGCGGCGGTAGTTTGACGAGAGATGAAAACTCGCGATACGGCCCGCACGTGGAAGGTTGGTCGTCGATGCCGAATGGTATGGGCGGTGAGCGCCAAGGCACTATGAGTAATTTTGCGTGGAATGGCAGCGTAGGATTAAATTCCACATTAGTGAGAGAGAAAAACACGTGTGAATTGTATAGACAATGGGGCCTAATATTTCGTGATTCAGGCAAGAACAATCCGGAAATGTTTATCACGAGATTATTGACGTGTGCCGGAACATATCAGTTGTCGTTGGACGATATTTGTCGAACTTTGCCAGCGGTTCTGGATATGGAGGCGTGCGCGTGGCTGGAGCGCGAGGAGAAAAATTGGAATACGCTTGAAGATATGGCGGATGCTTTTAGACTGCAGTATTGCGATGAAGGTACGCAGCAGGGTCTATTGCAAGAAATAGAGGCCAGAACACAAGGTCCAAAAGAAGAAATCTCGGTATTTCTGTTAAAAATAAGGATGCTTCTCGACCAGCTGAAGCCACCATTGAGTATGCGAGAACAGATCGACAGAGCGTATATGAACTTGCATCCAAGTTATAGGAGAGCGTTTAGTCGCGAACAATGCGTAAATTTTTGCGAGTTCCAAAAATTAGGCAAACTTGAAGAGCTGAAACGCAGACAAGAACTTGCGTACCGCGAGCCACTGAGTTATGGTGACGTGTTATTTAAAAATGCGGCTTACGTAGAACCAGAGAGTAGTGATTCAACTTTGATATCATGTGTGGTAACATCTAGCCGAGAGACAGGTACTGTGAGAGATAATGTGAATAAGCCAAAATGTTGTAGATGTGGCATAGAAACGAGTGGTAGTTTTTCAATGTGCAATTCGTGTTACATAAAGCGTAAACGTGATCAAGAGAAGAAAAGAGCTATGTTTGCTGGTGATGCTCATTAAAGAGTCGCAGTAGGAGGATTGGCCGAAAAATAGCGTAGCATCTTGTGGTCAGTAATTATTACAGATGACGTTATCGGGCCTAAGCCCTCTTTTCAGGGAGGGGTGGGATACGTATTCGTATTCATTGATAGAACTTCAAGTAATGAAAGTAGTAACAGGGGTAAATGATGAGTCAGATGAATATTGTGACAGAGTGAATTGTCTATCGCAGTCGAGTATTTCTGGTCGTGTACCGAATTTATTTTTTTTATTATTTGGCTCGTAATTGATTTTTTTCTGTGAAGTTTGTTAGTTGTGTGACGGTCGACTCCCCGTGTCCACCGTGCACAAGGCGTTCCTCGTTGCCTGGCCGACTTTGTCGGTATCCGACGCGCCAGACAAGCCACAGCTTGTCGTCGGCCAGGGTCCGGCTAGCTCGATATGGGTCGGGAAAACGCGAGATACTACCTCAGGTCGTGAGTACGACTCTCCTCCTGGAGGGGACGCCGACGGGTATGGAGCGGGGTCTCCGGTGACTGCAACACTGCACCTATAAAAACACCTGTAAACGAGAAAGTCCGCGAGAGAGAGAGGAAAGGAAAACGACGGGTCTTCTAAATAATAAAACAGTGAATTTCAATTAAAACAAAGATTCCAACTTTATTGAAGCTACTCTCAATTCTCATTCACACACAGCCGAAGCTATCACACGTTCAATCACACCTGGTCGCGGACGCGAGCTGCGTTGCCGTTTGGAGGGTCGGCGCGAGCGCGGTAATACCAGTAAACTACTCACGGTACTCCTTGCCCTCGAGGCTCGCGACCACACGGGTAGACTCCGCGTCGCCGGGGTCTTAGAAGTTCCTGCTGCTCTCCCCGTAGTCGCCTGTTGGCCACAGACGCGGGAAGGGACGGGCCAGATGGGTTGAAACTCGTTACGCTCGATGACGACTCTTGGTGCGCCGCACGGATCGCCAGCACTCACACTCGATTCGTGGCCACAAACTTCACAATCTCACCGATTCACGCCTTCAACTCACTCTCACCCAACAGCACACTTCACTACTCACACACTCTACTACAAAAACTCTACAACGCTCCGACAAAACTACTCCACAATGTTCGCGTACATAGAGCTCTGCTCTGCTCAGCGGTCCAACTACTGATCTACACTCTCGGACTGCTCCAACTCAACTCTCTCGTCGTCTGCACACGTGCAGGCTCCGAGTTCGCGACTTGTAATCGGGCACGGGCCGTTCGCGCGCAGTCACGTGGTACTGCGCTCGCGAGAGGCCACAGTGGTACCGGCTACAATGGTCGCGACTCATGCGCACATTCACACAAAAACCTCACATCAGACGCGTTTATGACGCGTCGCTTGCGTGCTCCGACGTTCGCCTATAGCGCAACGTCACAGTTGATAGTTTTGTGTAATTAACTTTTCATTGCGGGTATCGAGTTAAATAATGGCGGTATTCATTTGTAGGCCGTATAGCATTATAGTTAGTCAGTTAATTATTCAATTTTTGTATTATTTATTTGGTCGTGAGAACGCAGAGCGTAGGTATGAGTACGAGGACTTGCCGTACTCAAGATTATTTGCGCAGCAGTAGTGCTGGTTAATTTGTTTGCATATTTGACGTGTAGTTATTCGGCCAAATGAGTCGTGTTTTTTTTTTTTTTTTTTTTTTTGATTGTCGCAGAGAGAAAAAGTAATCAAGTATTAAAGCCACAGTAGTTTTGTTTTAAGATTCTGTGAATCAAAAGCCAAATGAGCAGAGAACTAAGTGTTCTGTATTAAATTGTAGTTGATAAATAAAAATTTTATTTCGTTTAATTTTTATGAATATGTGTCATTGTGTCATTTCATTTCACTCACGTATCGTATTCATCTATCGTCAGAATCAAGTGTTGATGTTTTTTGTAATAATGTGGTAAGTTCGCGGTTCTCGTGGTGGTGAAGGAAGAGTGAATGTACACTGCTCGACTTGGTTGCACACACTTTATTTGTCGCCTGTTATTAATTTTATTGGAACAATGAGATACAAATGATAATTGTAGATAGAAAATGAAATAGATGCGTCCTCGCTGGTCGTTGCCGCCAATCTCCCCTTCTTGCTCGCCGCCCGCCGTCTCCTCGCCCCCTCCAGCGCCGCTGGCTCGCGCGAACGTGGTCGAGGCTGGAAGCTCGGACGCGCCACATTCAAACAGGATTTCTCCGAACACCGCCCGCCTCGTTCCCCGAACGACAACTTGATGCGTCGCCGCCCGCCGCTAGGCAATGCTCGCAGGTCCATCATCTGCTGGAGGGACGTACTCCTTCACAGGAAGAGAGACTAGTTTGACGATGGGTCGCGTGTACATTCCGCGAGCCGTTCTTACGTCTGCCACTCGAACCATGCCGTCTTGACCCAGATATACCTTGGTGACTCGGCCCAACGGCCATCGACCAGTTGCCGTCATCAAAGATGGGTCGACGATCACCACGCAGTCACCAACGCTCAGGTTTTCTTGTCGGCGTCTCCATTTGACTCGCTGCTGGAGCGTATTGAGGTATTCCTTGCCCCAGCGGTTCCAAAACACTGCTCGCAGAGCTTGGACGAGCTTCCAATGATGCAGGAGGTCAACGTTGAGTTCTGGGTCCAAATCAGCTTCAGGTATCGCGATCAGAGGCTCGCCCGTTATAGCATGGCTGGGGGTGAGGACTACCAAGTCTTCGGGGCCATTGGTAATCGGCCCGAGAGGCCTGCTGTTCAATACAGCTTCAATGCTCACCAGCAACGTCGACAGTTCTTCGTACGTCAGTCGTCGGGGGCCTACTGTGCGCTTGAGGTGTGTCTTGAATGATTTCACTGCAGCCTTCCAGACACCGCCGAAATGCGGGGCACTAGGCGGTATGAATTTCCACGTAACTCCCTTTTCAGCCATCGTGCTTTCGACTCTGTCCCACCGCAGATTCGCTCGCTGCAGCTCGCGCCGTAATTCTAAACTGGCCCGGTGGAAATTTGTGGCGTTGTCGCTCCAGATCTCCATTATTGGTCCGCGACGTCCAGTGAATCTCGTCAACGCTCCCAGCAGACTTCCGGTGGTTAGATCCCCCACAAGCTCAAGGTGGACTGCCTTGGACGTCAAACACACGAATACAGCGACCCAAGCTTTCACGGTGCGGTTGCCTCGACCTTTGATCGGTGCGATCCCGAATGGCCCGGCATAGTCCAGCCCGGTACGCAAGAAAACGCGGCTCGTTGGAGTGACCCGGGCAGCTGGAAAAGGTGCCATGATTTGCGTCATAGTTCGAGCCTTGCTGGTGACGCAGACGACGCAGCCCCTTATGTGCTTATTGATCAGTCGCCTGCCGTGAATAATCCACGCTCTCTGAAGCACTTGCTTGTAAGTGACTCGGAAGCCCCCGTGTAGTGTCACGGTGTGAGCCCAACGGACAATGAGTCCTGCGATCGAGCTCTGCGCGTCCAAGATCGGTGGATGTCTCTTGTTGAACGGCAGGCCCGATGAATGCAGCCGACCGCCGACCCGTAGTATGCCTTGATCGCAAAGAAAAGGATCAAGCGATGCTAGAGATCCTCGAGAGGGGACCGGCTTGTCTCTGGCGAGCGCGGCAATTTCCTCGTGGAAGGCTCGCTGTTGGCTATACCGTATGCACGCATCAAAGGCGATGTCGAGTTCTGTTCGAGTCATAGGCTGCAGGACTCTGTTGGTAGGTTCACGGCCTAGACGGAAGCGGATCCATCGACGCAGTCGGACCAGATAACGCAGCAATCGGTAGAGATCAGAGAATCTTGCTATGTGATCGTTGTCTACCTGGTCTGCAGCTTGTGTCGCAAGGCAAGCTGTCCGCTGTTCCGCTGGTGGAGTCGCGTCGCTGCTTGGGAGTGTTGGCCACCTTGCTGTTGATCCCGACAGCCACTCTGGCCCGTTGATCCATATGCTTTGAGAAAGTAGCCCCTCGGCATCGCTCCCTCGTGATGCGACGTCTGCAGGGTTCTCAGCAGTGGGAACATGGCGCCAAACGCTGAGTGGGACAAGTTCTTGAACTTGGTGTACGTAGTTGTCGACGAGTGAATTTCCAGTCGGCTCAGTCGAGCGTATCCAATGGAGCGCTATCAACGAATCTGACCACGCTGTACAGGAAATTACATCGACGCCCAACTCGTCGCAGATGGATCTCAGCAGTCTGGCAGCGATTAATGCAGCTCGAAGCTCCAGTCTCGGGATGGTCATCCTTGGCGTTTGAGACAAGGGCGGACGCAGGCTTCGTATGGGGCTTAATTTAGTCTTGGCAAGGAGCAACCTAACGATGGATTTTCCGCTCTCGTCCTCAGCCCTCGAGTATGCCACTGCTGCCATAGCACGACGACTCGCATCGACAAACACGTGGATCGTGAGCTTGGTACCCGCCAATCCTGACCCGATCCATCGAGGAATAGACATCCTGGCGAAGGCTGAGAAATTAGCTCTCACCGACAGCCAGCGTCGCGACATCGAGTCCGGTAACTTCTCGTCCCATGCTAGTTTGGCACGCCACAAGTCCTGGACTAGCATTTTGGCAGTGAGGGTGATAGGAGCGGCCCAGCCGCAAGGGTCGAACACTGAAGCCAACTCCGCCAGCACCCTTCTCTTGGTGAGAAGCTGATCATCACTGGAGCGCACATTGAGGCTGAGCATGTCATCCTGTGGACTCCAGGACACCCCGAGTTCCTTCACGGGGTCTTCTTGAGAGAAAGTAATAAGCGTCGGTCGAAGGAGCTCCGCCGAATCCAAACCGTCGAGCAGCTGAGGATGGTTTAAGACCCACTTGCGAAGGGGAAAGCCGCCCGCCTTCATGAGGTTGATCAATTGATCTCTCAACGATAATGCGGCTTTCAGCTCGTGCGCGCCTGACAAGATGTCGTCAACGTATCTATCCTTGGTGAGCGCATTCGCTGCCTCCGGGAAACGAGAGCCTTCATCAGAGCAGAGTTGCTGCAACGTGCGAAGCGACAAATACGGAGCACAAGCAGTGCCGTACGTCACAGTCCGTAACTGATAATGCTCGGGCGGGTGGTCTCTGCTTGGACTCCAAACGATGCGTTGCAGATTCACGTCCTGTTCGTCAATCAAGATTTGCCGGAACATCATTTGTACGTCTGTGCAGAAGGCGATGCGATGAGTTCGCCAACGCAGCAATACAGCCCAGAGAGTCCGTTGCAGTTTCGGGCCGGCACATAGCACATCGTTCAGACTGGAACCCGTTGATGTGGGTCGAGAAGCATCAAAAACCACTCTCAGTCTGCGGCCGCGGTCACTCAATTGCCATATTCCATGGTGCGGGATGTAACAGGAGCGTGGGCCTGGGTCAGTCAGTTCGGCGGTCGACAATTTTCTCATGTGTCCCATCTCTTCGTAAACTTTTATGAATGCTCGATACTCCGAAGCGAATTGTTCATTGGCGTCCATGCGTCGGTGCAGACACGCGAGCGAAGCTTTAGCCACGTTCTCACTTGAGCCAAGCTTGTCAGCAGCATCAGGTTGCAATGGCAATCGTACGATGTAGCGCCCAGAGGAGTCACGTCGGTGCTCCGAAAATATTTTCTCACACCACGCGTCAGACGGCCTTTCTCGGTGCACAGGTGGGACGTCTTCGAGCTCCCAGAATCTTTGGAGCATTGCGTTGAGCTGATGGTGCCAAGCAGGAAGATTCTCGTCAAGTGTTGTGAGATAACAGTGAGGAGAAGCTCGTTGAGGGTTGACTCCTTGACGACCCCAAATCATCCAGCCAAGGCTGGTATTTTCAGCCACTAACGCATCGTGGTGGACGAGTCCAGGTTTAAGTAAACGAGGTACGATATCTCCTCCAAGAAGCAGCTCGACTGTGCCAGGTTTATCAAATAGTGGGTCGGCCAAAGTCTCACCGACCCATGGCGTCTGGTCATCGTGAATCAACTGGTGTGCCGGCGTTCTAATTCCGAGGTGGCTCAGACAAAGGGCCGTGAACTCAATCGGAGCCTCGTGCTCTGGTAAGTGCAAGAGCAGAGCAGCAGTCTTACGAGCGTTACCGGCGATTCCACCGCCAACAACCCCAACTGTCACGTTTATTATCGTGAGTGGTGCCATCAAATGTTTTGCTACCCTAGTGGAGATGATGGAGACCTCGGAGCAAGCGTCTAGCAGTGCTCGAACCGTCACAGGCGTGCGATTAACGCTGCTGAGTTGAATCTGGGCGGTAGGAAGCACAGCTAGTCAGGAACGGGTACCATTCTCCTCGCTGTCACTCGGCAAGCTTCGGCTATCGGCATCCAGTGTTGCAAGGACAGTGCGCTTGATCTTGCTGGTCGATTCCTCACGCGTTGGTGACGCAGCTCGCTTTCTACTTCGATCGTGCAATGCTGTGTGATGAGAGGCGCGACAGATCTGGCAGGTAGATCCAGATGGGCAAAGGCGGGCTGCATGACCTGGACGTAAGCAGTTGAAGCAGAGTCGGGAACGAGCGACCAATATTCGTTTGTCTGCCAGCGACAATCGTACGAACGCATCACAACGTCCAAGGTAATGCTCGCCTTGGCACTGAGCGCAAGAAGATTGGCCATAATTCGTCGCGTATGAACAGGCATGTCTCTCCCCAGTGCTTGATGATTGAGCCTTGGTCGGTGGTGGCGCACTGGACGAGCACGCGACTGCCATGCGACATCTGCTCTGCAGAAAGTCTTCAAGGGTGGAAAACGAGGCCAAGTTGTCGCCTCGTTTCGTCATGGTTCCATCAGCGATGTCCAGCCGCTCGAGCTCGGCCTCCCAGGCTCGTCTAGTGAAGTTATCCATACACGACGCCGCAATGTTGACAAACCAGTCGTCCCAGGTGTCAACTGGACAGTTGAGCGTGAGGAGCTGATCCCGGTGGCGCCTCAGAGTGTCGATAAGGTGCTGCATCGCCTTCAGAGAGTCCTCGCGAATTGGTTTTAAGCCGCGAAGTGCGCTCAAGTGCTCCTGCACAAGTAGCCGCCGATTCTCATACCGAACCTCCAACAAATTCCATGCAGTATCGTAGCTGTCACTCGTAAGTTGTAGAGAGTTCAAAGCCGATTGAGCCTCGCCTTTGACAAGAGACTTCAGGTAATAAAGTTTCTCAACGTTGCTCAGACTGCCGTCACGATGTATCAGGGCCTTGAAAAGGTCACGAAAGGACTCCCAGTCCTCACGTCGACCAGAAAACTCGGGTACGTTGATCCGGGAAAGTCGCGACTGTGACTGGACTGAAGAATGTCCGTCGAGGCGCGGTGTCCTGACTTCGAGTTGGTTTGGCGGTTGCAGGCGATTTTTGGTGTCATACAGCACGCCCTTTGCGCGCGTGTATCGCTCTTGAACGCCGGCATACACAATAGCTCTGTCATAACGCTCCCCGTCCTCGAGAGGTGCAAAGCAGCGCTGGTGATTCGATTGGAAGTCCGCCCAGTAGTTCTCCAGAAGCTCGTAACGAGCTTGAGCCAAGCCCAAGGTCCAGCTGTCGATTGGCGTGGACTCAATGTCATTGGTCAAAGCTTTGATCACCTCGATCAGCTCGAGTTGGATGGGCAGTAGATCATAACCTGCAATTCACAATATATTTTAGGCAAGCTCGACGCCGTGGCGGAGTCTCACAAAGACAGAGTCTGACATCAACAACATTCACATACATGTCTATGCATTGCTCATCGCTTAGGCAACGCAGATACGTGCATGACTTACGTGATATGCAAGGCACACACACACACACACATGCACGTTCACACAAACAGACTCGCTGGCGTCGGTGCCTTCGTCTCAGCATCGTAGCATTGCAGCCTAACTCGCCAGGTTATGGTTGCCCTTGTTCATGTCACAGATGAATTGCAGCGTTTTGTATCACAGTTGAAGTACGCACATGAGCGCGCACCTCGAGTTGCAGGCCTCGCAATTAAGTCGAGCTGCCGTCACAATTCGCATACTACAGAAATTCGTTCTCACCTGCTTCCGAAACGGTCGTCATGTTGGAATTGTGCGACGCGTAAGACATGTTTCAACGTACGATCCGGCTCCGAAGGACCAATGGTAAGTTCGCGGTTCGCGTGGTGGTGAAGGAAGAGTGAATGTACACTGCTCGACTTGGTTGCACACACTTTATTTGTCGCCTGTTATTAATTTTATTGGAACAATGAGATACGAATGATAATTGTAGATAGAAAATGAAATAGATGCGTCCTCGCTGGTCGTTGCCACCAATCTCCCCTTCTTGCTCGCCGCCCGCCGTCTCCTGACCCCCTCCAGCGCCGCTGGCTCGCGCGAACGTGGTCGAGGCTGGAAGCTCGGACGCGCCACATTCAAACAGGATTTCTCCGAACATAATGGTTAACTTGAAAATAAGAATAAGGCACAGCTATGCATAATCAGCGTAACATTGGTATTGCTGTGTAAAGTAATTGATAATGGCGATGCAACGAGAGATGATGGGTGACTGGTTGAATGGCCAAATGTAATTTGTTAATTGTATATTAAATTTTTGTAGTCGTTTTAAATTAAATACCGTATATGGCAGCCGAACGAGAAGGACCGAAGCCAGGTATGTGTTTTATTTTTGTATTCAGTGTGTGAGTGTGTCGGTTCTTATGTTTCGCGTGTATTATGGCAAATGCCTTATTGTTTAAAATCACGTGTATGTGAGTAAATGGTGTGATGCGGCTACTGAATTATCAATCTATCATGTGTGAGTGATAATTGAACCTCTAGTAATAGGTTCAGTCATGGAGGGGGGAATGTAAGGAAGTAGTCCAGCACAGGGTCCGACGGTACTCCTTCCTTGTATAATAAATCCTAAAATTCCTTCCGCCCGAGAGAGAGATCGGAAATAAGCGAGCCTAATGGTATTGCGGATCGGCGCCAATGTATCGATAAGCGCCGAATTTGTAAAGAGAGAGAGAGAGAGCCGTGATCAACGCTACGTGCGTAGAAGGGTCTTGCGCGTGCTGCCTTATGAGCAGGAGAAAGCCTGTCAAGTGAAAAGGGAGGCCTATGATGACTGACGAGCCGACGAGGAGTTGATGAATCGAACACTCTGTGTTAGACCTCGCGTGAAAAAGCTTCGAGCTACCGACCCCTCTCGTGTGGGACCTGCGATGGCCAGCGTGTGTGAGAGTGAGTCTGCCATCCTAGAGAGCATCAACATCTGGCTACCTTCTCGTCTGCCCTCGCTATTTTCGCAGTCTTCGTCAGGCCCAATCAACCACCAATAAACCATAGAGTCAACGAATGTAAGTCGCCTATATCTCTCTCGCGTAATGCGCCATAACTATCTCTGTTCGTTACGCTCGATCTCTCTCGGTCTTGTCCCCGCCTAGCCCAAACTCACGACCGTCGTATCTGCCGCTCTAGCCGAGGTGGCCTAATCGCGTGTGTACATTGTACCGGAGTAAACGTATATGTCAATTGCGTGTTGAAGCCCGATAACTGTAATCGTCGATTCATTGAATGTAATAGATATGATCAGGCGTCACATTCGTGACTGGCGCCTTTCTAATAATAAATTAAGCCTTTTTATGTTTAACCTTTTTCAAATGATCGAGTGAGTTATTTCGACACCCCGTTTTATTCCGTTTACAGCCACGCAAGATTTCGCCGGATCATTCGCTCGCATCCCGAGGGCGAACGGTTACAACTTTGATCTTAGTCGACAGTCCGAAAAGCGATGTTGATAATTGAGTGAATAATCATTAACTCCTGTATGACCTTTTAATAAACGTACACTTTGATCTTAGCCAGATGGCCGAGAAGCGATATGGATAAACGAGTGGATAATCATCAACTCACGGTGCGACTTCTTGATGAACGTTCGATTTCATCTAAGCCAGAAGGCTGAAAAGCGATATGGATGAAAGAGTGGGAAATCATTAGCCCCCGTTGCGATCTCTCGATAAACGTACACTTTGATCTTAGCCGACAGTCCGAGAAGCGATGTGGATGATCGATTGAATAATCATTAACTCCTGTACGACCTCTTGATAAACGTACACTTTGATCTTAGCCGACAGGCCGTGAACCGACATGGATGATCGAGTGAATAATCATTAACTCATGGTGTGACCTCTGGATAAACGTTTAATTTCATCTTAGCCAGAAAACCGAGAAGCGATATGGATGAAAGAGTGGGAAATCATTAACCCCCTGTTGCGATCTCTTAATAAACGTACACTTTAATCTCAGCCGAAAAGCCGAGAAGCGACATGAATGATCGAGTAAATAATCATCAACTTACGGTGCGACTTCTTGATGAATGTTCACTTCGATCTTAGCCAGAAGGCCGAGAAGCGACATGGATGATCGAGTGGATAATCATTAACTCACGGTGCGACTTCTTGATAAACGTTCAATTTCATCCTAGCCCACAAGCAAAGAAACGATATTGGATGATCGAGTGGATAATCATTAACTCACAATGCGACCTCTTCATAAACGTACACTTTGATCTTAGCCAGAAGGCTGAAAAGCGACATGGATGATCGAGTGAATAATCATTAACTCCTGTACGACTTCTTGATAAACGTTCAATTTCATCCTAGCCCACAAGCCGAGAAACGATATTGGATGATCGAGTGAATAATCATTAACTCATGGTGTTACCTCTGGATGAACGCTTAATTTCATCTTAGCCAGAAAACCGAGAAGCGATATGGATGAAAGAGTGGAAAATCATCAACCCCCTGTTGCGATCTCTTAATAAACGTACACTTTAATCTCAGCCGAAAAGCCGAGAAGCGATATGAATGATCGAGTGAATAATCATCAACTCACGGTGCGACCTCTTTATGAACGTTCACTTTCATCTAAGCCAGAAGGCTGAAAAGCGATATGGATGATCGAGTGAAGAATCATTAACTCACGGTGCGACCTCTTCATAAACGTACACTTTGATCTTAGCCGGAAGGCTGAAAAGCGACATGAATGATCGAGTGAATAATCATTAACTCCTGTACGACGTCTTGATAAACGTTCAATTTCATCCTAGCCCACAAGCCGAGAAACGATATTGGATGATCGAGTGAATAATCATTAACTCATGGTGTTACCTCTGGATGAACGCTTAATTTCATCTTAGCCAGAAAACCGAGAAGCGATATGGATGAAAGAGTGGGAAATAATTAACCCCCTGTTGCGATCTCTTAATAAACGTACACTTTAATCTCAGCCGAAAAGCCGAGAAGCGACATGAATGATCGAGTAAATAATCATCAACTTACGGTGCGACTTCTTGATGAATGTTCACTTCGATCTTAGCCAGAAGGCCGAGAAGCGACATGGATGATCGAGTGGATAATCATTAACTCACGGTGCGACCTCTTCATAAACGTTCAATTTCATCCTAGCCCACAAGCCGAGAAACGATATTGGATGATCGAGTGAATAATCATTAACTCATGGTGTTACCTCTGGATGAACGCTTAATTTCATCTTAGCCAGAAAACCGAGAAGCGATATGGATGAAAGAGTGGGAAATCATTAACCCCCTGTTGCGATCTCTTAATAAACGTACACTTTAATCTCAGCCGAAAAGCCGAGAAGCGACATGAATGATCGAGTAAATAATCATCAACTTACGGTGCGACTTCTTGATGAATGTTCACTTCGATCTTAGCCAGAAGGCCGAGAAGCGACATGAATGATCGAGTGAATAATCATTAACTCCTGTACGACTTCTTGATAAACGTTCAATTTCATCCTAGCCCACAAGCCGAGAAACGATATTGGATGATCGAGTGAATAATCATTAACTCATGGTGTTACCTCTGGATGAACGCTTAATTTCATCTTAGCCAGTAAACCGAGAAGCGATATGGATGAAAGAGTGGGAAATCATTAACCCCCTGTTGCGATCTCTTAATAAACGTACACTTTAATCTCAGCCAAAAAGCCGAGAAGCGATATGAATGATCGAGTGAATAATCATCAACTCACGGTGCGACCTCTTTATGAACGTTCACTTCCATCTAAGCCAGAAGGCCGAAAAGCGATATGGATGAAAGAGTGGGAAATCATTAACCCACTTTGCGATCTCTTGATAAACGTACACTTTAATCTCAGCCGAAAAGCCGAGAAGCGATATGAATGATCGAGTGAATAATCATCAACTCACGGTGCGACCACTTGATAAACAATCAATTTCATCCTAGCCCACAAGCCGAGAAGAGATATTGGATGATCGAGTGCATAATCATTAAATCATGATGTGACCTCTGGATGAACGTTCAATTTCATCTTAGCCAGAAGTCCGAGAAGCGATATGGATGAGAGAGTTGGAAATCATTAACCCCCGTTGCGATCTTTTGATAAACGTACACTTTGGTCTTAGCCGACAGTCCGAGAAGCGATGTGGATGATCGAGTGAATAATCATTAACTCATATTGTGACCTCTGGATAAACGTTTCATTTCATCTTAGCCAGAAGGCCGAGAAGCGATATGGATGAAAGAGTGGGAAATCATTAACCCCCGTTGCGATCTTTTGATAAACGTACACTTTAATCTCAGCCGAAAAGACGAAAAGCGATATGAATGATCGAGTAAATAATCATCAACTTACGGTGCGACTTCTTGATGAATGTTCACTTCCATCTTAGCCAGAAGGCCGAGAAGCGACATGGATGATCGAGTGGATAATCATTAACTCCTGTACGACTTCTTGATAAACGTTCAATTTCATCCTAGCCCACAAGCCGAGAAACGATATTGGATGATCNGTGTGACCTCTGGATAAACGTTCAATTTCATCTTAGCCAGAAGACGGAGAAGCAATATTAATGATCGAGTGAATAATCATTAACTCACGGTGCGATCTTTTGATGAACGTTCAATTTCATTTGAGCCAGAAGACCGAGAAGCGATATGGATGAAACAGTGGGAAATCATTAACCCCCTGTTGCGATCTCTTAAACAACGTACACTTTGATCTTAGCCGACAGGCCGAGAAGCGACATGGATGATCGAGTGAACAAATTTACTCACGTTGTGACCTCTCGATAAACGTTCA